AATAAACTAAAATCCTGCTGAAGTGATTGGATCTTAATTGGCAATGCAAAAATCTTCCAACAGATGTGATGTTAAGCTCCAATGAGTCACTCCAAGAACATGAAGGCTGAATATGTGGCTTTCAAAGAATAGTTTAACATTTTGGGAAATACTGGTATAATTGTTGGCTTTTTTGCTGAGAGTTAGATAAGAAGACTCAAATACCCCCGTCCATTTAAGTGTTTTTCCCTAAGGGCAGCATATTTTTTAAATTCACAGCAATGGGAGCACCACATATTTACTCTATGCTAGGAGTGTCAGCAGCATGGTGAGGTGCTGAGCATCTATTCTGCACTTCCTCTGAGTGCCAAGAGTCGAAAATATGTTCAACTTTGGGTAAAACGCTGTGCTCATCACTGTTAATTTTTACCGTACAACGTACTTCAGCTTTCCCTTCATCCAGTGGAAGCAGTCTACTTCGTGCCAGCATTTTTACATGTGCGGATATTCTGTGTCATAGCAACCAGATGCAACCAAAGTATCTCAGCTGAAAAAAAAAACAAAAAACAAACAAAAAAAAAAAAAACACGCGCCTCCAAATTGCTCTCAAGTGCTTCGAGCTGGGCATTTTTGGATGAGCACCTGGCATTTTCAGCTGGGGAAAAACACTTTGATGGATGCCAGCCACTAAATACAAGGCTGGAGACCAGTGATAGTTAGCTTAGCTTAGCATAAAGACTGAAAGCCAGGGGAAACAGCCTGATCCTGACGTTAAAAATCAGCCTATCACTACCTCTAACTGTACGTTCAAACCAACAGCGACCAGAGCTTCCAAAATGGCGGAAGTCATTCATTTTCAATGAGAGCCTGGCGACTTGGGCAACTTGGGCAACCTGGTCATCAGCCGCATGTCTTGGGCAACCAAAGCAACCAGAGCAGCTCTGGAGGGAAGTTAAAACTCGTTTAACTTTATGGTAATGAGCTCTGACGCGGTTTGGCGACAACCAATGGGAATGCTGACGTGCATTGATGAAAGAGGTCCCAGAGAACAAGCCATGTAACTTTGGTTCCGACAGCACCGACAATGAATATCGAGACGTTTATTACTTGCATTCGCGCCCACTCAGTCCTTTATAATGTGACGCTGTTCAGTTACAGAGACCAAAATATAAAGAATGAGGCTTGGGACCACGTCGCGGAGGTAGATGGTTGGTCTGGTGAGTTTTAAAGTGTGTAATGTTAGTAATAGAGAACAGATTTGCATGCTAATGTTGCGACGTAGCATGCAAGTCTTCGTTGCTTGGTTTGAGTGGGATGACATATGTTTTCTGTTTTCACTGACCAAACATAACTTTCTGTGGGCCAACTATGAGCTTTTTGACTGGACAACAGCAAGCAGCAACTACTACACTGCATTCAAGCCAGTAGTCCGCTTTGCGGCTCCTTTAAATTGACAAGCACGATCGAACGTTCAATGGTTCACGTGATGAACGACTAGAGCGACCAAAGCTGTCATAAATATTTTTGACCGTCGTGCTTCTTGGGCGTCTGCGACAGACTTTGCCTCTTTGGAAGCTTCTGGTTTGAACATACAGTAAAGCTCACTAATTAACATGTTGTCTTGCGTTTGTTTGACTTGTACAAAAACCCAAATGTAAAATCATCTTGTGGTTTTAATGTTGGTCATGAACTGGATTATTTCTTGGCAGGGAGCAGTTCCACCTGAATCCTCGACTGATTGCTCATAAAACTAAAACAAAATGACATTTTTACACTTTGATTTCTGTATGGATCAAACAAACACGAGTTGTAGAGGTGCTGGTAGGCTAATTTTATTACCTTTGGACAGAGCCTGCTTCCTCCTTCCATCTTCTGGCTCCTACTTCACACCATACAAGCACAAGAGTGGTATCAATCTTCTCATCAAACTCTTGGCAAAAAAAAAGCAACTAAGTGTTTGCTTTCTACAGCTCAGCAGCTCCATATGGAAACATTCTTTCAAAAGAAATCACAGTTTATTAATGAGATAGGGAAGGAAGCTACCCAAACTGTTAAATAATACAGCATATTCTGCAGAAGTGAAGTGCTTGCCTCGGTATATTAAAGGTGTAATGGAAGTGTCAGCAGCATTCTGATTTTTTTTTTAACTAACTATATTTTCCTGCTTGGGATAAGTGCTGAAACCCAGAACAAAGCCAATAGAATATAAAAATGCGAACACAATGTGACTTATACATACTGTAAACATGTATGCCACAGTGTTGCTATCCTGTTTCTCTTATCTCTGCATCCAGCTGCGAACTGGAAAGGAGTAAAGCAGCAAAGGAAACATCGATTCTGAGTCTGTCAGACCAGACTAGGTCTCCCTCTGTGTGTGACACACTCTTATTGATTCACACACAAACAAGTCAAACGGGTTGGCACAACAGAAATGCTGCTCTCTGGCCACATAACCCTAAACAAATTAAAATGTGTTAGATCAAAATGTTATCTGCAATTTTGTTTCCTTCAAAACCAGAGACTGCACTTCTTTTAATGCTACAAATTTGTAATTTTCATCGTCCTCTTTGCTCCCACTCCATCTCCGTACTCTCCCTGCGTGTCTAATCCCTCCCCTGACGACAGGTGATATCAGCTAAGGCCTCCTGTGACTCCACCAGCTGACAAATCAAATCCAAATGAATCTGGAGGAGCTCTAGGAAAAATTGAGTCAGGTGTGTGTTTTTATTCCACAAGGACGTGTTTGTCCTTTGATTAAGCCCAGAAAGTGCTGTGCGTTGTTGCCGCTGCTCTTTTGACTGAACCATACTCAGTATATATTGGGCAGCGCTCACACATACAGACCTGCTGCATGTGTCTGACAGATGGCCGGAGGAAATTACGTCTGTGCCAAGTGCCTCGCAACAAAAGTGCCCCTGCTCTCCTCTGCTATTACCACTAAACGAGTCATAGTTGACTTCTCTGCATGCATGTGTGTGTGTGTATTGTGAGTGTGTGCCTTTGTGTGTAAGGTGACTGTATCACGATGACTGTTAGGGGCAGCTGGCGCGGCGCAGCCTGCCTGGATACGGTGGCAGAGGCTATGTCAGTGTCTGGTCCAGGAGCCCGGGGCCTGCAGCTAATACCTGTCAAATCATATTACGCACACAGTGTGAGGAGCCCAGATCGGAGCTGGAGCAACCTGGCATGGCTATGCATATGGATGCTGGTGATGCGTGTGTTTTGGAAAGTGGTTTTAGTGCTTTTCACAACACTAGGTGAATTCTAAATAAAATATTGTCTGGAAGGGATAAACTGACACTTCTTCGCGCAATCTCCACAGATAATTGGGTGGGATTATAATGGCTGGATTTAGAGCTTTGATCCTCTGCCTTAGGCCCAACCCAACCTGCAGGGTTTGGGCTGGCTGTATAATCTTCAAATTCCCTAACAGGTTGAGTCGGGTTGGGTTTGCTCTGATTTCCCTTTGTTTTTTTTGTTTATTTTTTTTTAAATGCAAGCCATATAGACTGTGTAATGTTATGAATAATGTATGGGCTATGCTGCCATTAGCCCCTCCCGACTCCCGCCTCTCATTAATGAGGAGAAATGTTATACAGTCTCTATTTAATATACATATATAGCACATGACAGTTTTTGGGCTGTGCTGAACATTGGGTAAGAGAGGGCACATGTCGGAGAGATTGTGTCACAAATGTCTGTAAACAAAACTGAAAAGACTTGAGCTGAATTTAGCTTGTAATAAATGTTTTTACGTATATGTGCACGATGTGTTATGCATTTATTATGTGTTATGTTCAAGTCTGAGTTCTATGTTTTGCCTGCCTGCCAGACAAACTTCCCCTTGGGAACAGTGAAGTTGAAGAAGTTGAAGTGCATAAACAGCCGACAGCTTGGAGCTAAGGTAAATTATTTGCAACGCCTATATTACAGCCTAGTTTTTCATAAATAATACATGTAACAAACAGTGAAAATGTAACACAAATGCAGAAGAAAATAATGCACTTGGTATTTTATCGTTAACATTACATGTGGTTTCATAAATCAAACTGTAAGTCAACCCAGTAGAGTGAATGTTGATAGGTGTCAATTGATGCTTATCAAAAACACAATGCATTGAAAGCAGTTATGGAACTAACAGGATGTTGTTGCTTACAAAGTTTTCTACTGCCAGAATTCACAAAGAAAAGGCCTCAAAAATAGAAACGAGTGAAGGACTTGCATTAGCAAACATGGGAGGTCTCACCACATGAGTTCCACTGAGTTTGATGTTCACATTTTGGAAGGAAAAAGAAATTGATGCCATGCTGCAGTAGATTGCACGTCTATAATTCTGACATGAACTAGTCTTAGAGGAGTATACATTAAATCACACATGCATAGACACATACAGTAGCAGCACTGCCACATCTTAAATTCACATCCTCACACTTTGGTAACAGTATGATTGATGACATACTATTGCTGTAAATATGGATAATAACAATACTGTGCAGGTGTAGAGTGATTCTGACAATTCAAAGCGAGATGGGGAATGGTGGCACAGGCTATATTTTTAGCCTAATTAACATGACACTAACATCTATCTAGTAATGGGGGAGGATGACAATGAACTGGATGTTGCTTTGGCTGAGGATAAAAAGACATGCAGGGAAATATGACTTTTTTTGTCTCATGTTTACTGTTTTGACAAGCTTGTGAAATAAATGAGTAAAGAAATCATAGACAGCTGTTTTGGAGAAAAATGACCACAGCTGACCAAAGGTTTCACCTATACAGTGACCTTTGTATGTATGGCAGGTCTATAGGTAGAAAAAAAAAAAAAAAAAACAGAAAATTGCACATATGAGCTTGTTAGTCTCTATGAAACATCAGTGTTTTAAGAAACTAGACAACTGCACAGTAATCAAACATTATGACCGGGATGAGATGCAGATGTGTTACTGTAATTCACACAGTGTTGCCATGTGAGCAGTCAGTATGAAGGGTGGTGGATGGTTTAGTCTCCCAGGTCTACTCACTGATCTCCAGCTGTCTCTGAATGCGTCCCTTGCAGCGCTCCCTGTAGTCCGACTGGGTGGTGTTGTACTCTGACATCACCTCGACAAACTTACGGGACAGTGTGGAGTGCTGGGGATAGAACGAGGAACAACAGCAGAGGACACCAACTTTGTAAGTAATTTAAATTGTATATGAGCAGGAGGTGCGCAGGTGAGTAGCTGTGTCCACATTCCAGACACACTAATTCTAAGATCCTGTTTACATTTGGTTTTAAGGTGCGTTTCAGGGTTTGATCACAAGTGGACAGCTGAGACACATCGCCATTCACACCCGTGTCTACCATATATCTCCAGCTGACCACACACTGTTCAGATTTCATTGCTACCTACGTCACTTACACTAGAAGGTCAAAGGGCCATACGCACAATTATTATGTCCACACTCTTACCGGGCACGTTTGCAGTTTTGTGTGTGCCACTGGAGATATTGCTGTCGGCAGAATTCAACTTGTTGGTCACCCAACTCATCGTAAAAACAACAAGCGTTGGTGCACTGTCACCAAAACAAACACATCCTGCACTGATAATGTATCATTTCTTTTACGTCCTTGTCAGGGACGTATCATGATGCATTAAGACCAATTCATAGTTACCGTGTCTGCACGTCTACAATGGTCTGCTTTGGTTTGTGTGACATAAATGTTGTCATCCACCCATGTCTGCCAGGGTCCGCACAGACCCAAACATCTGTGTGCAGCCCATTTTGTGACCGCACAGACTGTACACACACAACAAGCGCGCTAACTGTGCACTGTGCACTGTGCAATCAACTCAGCCGCAGCAGCCTCACCACAGTGAAGTTAGATTTACGTTGAATATTAGACAAACATTGACTCCAAACCCAGTGGTGTCTTCACCTGATGTTGGCAGTATAGGAGGATGGTAAGCTCGCCTCCCAGCCCTCCTGTTCAGTGCTAGGAGCTGACGCAGACCTTCAGTTGTACTATAAACATGACAAACAAACTGCATGACCTCAGCAGTGTGCACTCATTCAATGTGGAGTATGTTCGAGCCTTTAGTTGCCCAAAACACATTTTTAAACAAAGTGTAAAAAGGGTCTAAATAAGTTTGGAGTATACAGAGTGTTCATACTGAAAAAGTGACAAATTAAGTATACTCAAAGCAGTCACTGAGCATACTAACAAATACTGGATTTCTGATTGTGCTGATGGACACAGTTGTCCCATAATGCTCTGCACAGAGGAACTGGAGGAGCTGCAGGTAGCAGTGAGACCGTCTCAAGAAGATTTGGGTAAACAAAAAGTAACATTTTTATAAAACATTTAGCTTTGTCTTCGTGAAGTTTAATTGAACTGTACCTGTGTCTTGCGTATCCTCAGGTCAGCTGATGACCTGTTCTGGCTTTCCTCTTGTTCAATGGTTTGCTGGATACCTGAAAAGATACACAAAGATGTAGAGTCAATTATAGGGCAAGTGCTTCCCCTAAAAATGAACACCAAGACAAAAGTAAAATAAAAACTACACTGTCGTTGGCTGCCTCTAGAAGGAAAATATTTCTAAGCAGTAGGGGGGCTAAAAGTGTGAATCTAAGTGTGGTACACTCACACAAGAGGAAAGTTGATGAGGTTCATAAGGTCGAAAAAGGGTTGCATTCATGAGGGCAGAATCAGCATGGCAGTCTGCCAAATGGATTATGAGATACAATACTTTACTTTGTATGCAAAGCTGACACTTTGACATGAAGATGGTACGAGAAGAAAGGTCAGGGGGTCATAAGAAACACAAGGATTCAACGTGAGGAGATCTTGAAAATCCACAGTAAATTTCATAGATATCCATCCATTCATTTTGCAGTACCTCACAATGTGTTAGTCAGGGGAAAGAGTGAAATTATGGCTGCCTGAGAGAAACTGCTTGGGATAGAAATCACCATCAATAATCCTCTGGAAGCTGGATCAATTCACACCAAGTTTAATGGTAATCTGGTCAGCAGTTGTCAAGATATTTTACTCTTACTCTACCGAGAGTCAAACTGACCACCTTGTAAACCTTCGAGAAACTAAAGCTATCAATAATTCAACACCTGTGACCAAGTGGACCTGATGTATATACACCTACAATTACAGCCAGAAAAAAAACATTTTCCCCATATTAGCACTTTCCTTCTGCTCCCTCACATCCACAGCTCAGGAAGTCATTGTAGAGAAGCTGCTGCTGAGCATACTGACGTAAATTAAAAACTCTGTCAATGTGAGGCCACGTGAAACACTCAATCAATTCAATGTGAATTAAACCCAGATGTCTGAACCTGTTTATTTTCACTCTAATTTTTCTGTAAATTAAACTGAGAGAAGATGGCATTACCAGTCGCTGCACACTCAGAGACCTTTTGTGAGATGTCTGCACCTGCTGCTTTTATTGTACGCGTTGTATGCCTCCCTGTCTATGGAAACAGCTTGAGCCGACAGGGTAAACAGGTTCACTTATAGTTAATGAGCAATTTCATGTTCAAAAATCTGGTAATTCTTCATACATTTTGACAGATGCTGCAGCATCTCTGAAAAATCTAATATTTAAAACATATCTTCAATCAACATCCCTACAAAGCAACAGCCTTTTTCTTGAACAATATGTATGCCCTCTTGTGACAAAGCATGCATTTCCTGCTGTGCAACAACAATAAAGTTGAATCCAATCTAATCTAATCATGTGGATTGGGATTTGTGGATGGTGTCAGAACCTTTGTGCCACGTCTTCACATAGTCAGGCTACAACAGAAGTGTGTTTAAAACCCACTGAGCATATAGTAAATTAGGATCCTTATTTGTATCAGTGTAGAATATTGTGTTTAGCTTCAAACGCACATTATGAGTTTAAAAACAAGAGCTTCCTATTGTATATCTGCATGCCAAAAAAAACACTTTGGCACACCTATAAAGGGTTCTTGGGCACAGATGCTTGGGAGAAACAAGATAGGGGATAAATAGTACTGTGTACTGCAATATACTGAAAAATAAATACATATATACACGACAATGGGCCTCATACAGGAGAAAGTCTTACTCTAAGTGGCAGGTACAACTTAGAGAACTTCTGAAACTTACACTTACTGTACTCTTGTACCCCTGACTTTCATCAGGTTAAACAAAAAGTGTGCAAGTTTGTGCAAATAAAACAGGTTTAGGATAAAAGTACTAAATGTATAACTTGCATTTTACAAACACAGCTTCCTTGGATAGCAAAGGCATGACTCGCCCTCCTCTGCCTTTCTTTGCCTCTGAGTGGCTTACCCTGACATGCCTACCCTAACCCTACTAATTCTACACCTACTTGCCTAAATCTAACCAACCCAGCTAACGGAGGCAATAAGTGCGAGCCAACCAGAGGCAGAGAATGACACGTCAGGCCTTTGCCATCCTAGGACACGGAATTTCGTGTCCTGGAGGAATGTGTTTTGTGACCCATCCATCTTTACTCCCATCAGTGCGTTGGTCATGTGATCGCAGCCTCTCCAAAATAAGTGGGTTATACACGAATTACTAGCTCATGATTACACAGGTTATGTACAAATTTTGGCATTACTTCTCATAGGAAAAACACACAGTGCGTGGGAACAGCCTGATTAAATCTACATAGACCATCATGTGAATCATTTATCGTTTGTTTTAAAGAAATTCACTCACTGGATCTGTAAGATTTTTTGGGAATTATTTCAAAGCAAAACATACAGTAAATGATGTCAGTATGTCTTGAGGATCTATCCCAGGGTGCAGCCTGACAAAGATGGAGTCACTTACTGACCGACACACACACATACACACACACACGCAAACAAACACACACAAACATACAGCGGGCACACATACGATTACACAAAGGTATCCTGTGGCAACAACTGATGTGAACTGGAGCGACACTGTTAGCGGCCTGTGATGCAGAGCCTGTTCTGCCTGATAGCGCTTGTGTGTATCAGTGTATATATATGTGCACATGACACTGTGAGTATACGTGTGTGTGTGTGCCTCTGTAGGCTTTAGGCACGTAGGACAAGAGATAAGGGCTATTATCTTCTAGCTCTCTGCACTAAAGTTGTGCTCTACTTTCCTGAAAGATCCGGTATACCCATATTTTATCTCTGTCCCCTACTCTTCGACACCTGAGTCATATAGGGAGGCAGAGGAGAGTGTTCATATAGAGATGAGAAAGCTGCCAGCAGGAGAAACTCATTAAATATAATAAAACATGGTAAATACAGGAAAACATAAAAGATGTGTATGAGCAGTGATGTGTTATAAAATGCACAACCAAAGCAGGAAAGGTAGGATTTGGCAGGCAAATCAGAGAATAAGAGGATTATAGGTACACATACGCATACATACATATTAACACACAGGGATAAATAACAAGCAAGAACTTTCCTCACACATGTTGGGAGTCTAATCCAGGACCAGCTGCACTTCCATTATGCCTGCACACAGTATGTTACTGTAACATTAATCAGTTTGTGTGCACAAGTGTGAAAAAAACTCTAAACTGTGCGCACGTGCACTTTGATCACAGACACCACCTCTGTGGTGAGTGACACTAATCACTCTGCCCACTGCAGCACAAGCTCTAAACTCAGTTGGTCTGTTAGCTGCCAAATGTTATACAGTTCACTGTCTCTTCATGTCTTGTTATCTTCTCTCTTCTCCTGTGAAAGCTCTTGCATCATCACATCACATGAAGACAATCAGCTGCACAGGCTGGTTATGGATATGGTCACAATACTGTGATACAAATTTCAGAGCTAAACTAATTTGCGTTTTTGATTAATCTGCCTCTCTATTTTCTTGATTATACAAATTATCCTTTGGCCTGTAAAATCAAATGTCAGACAACAGTGAATAAATTGTCTTCACTACTTCCTAGATCCCAATTTGGCATCCTCATATTGGCCTCATTTGTCACACCGACAATCCAAAACTTAAAAATATTTAGTTCACTAAAGGAAGGGGAGCAAATCTATGAAAAACTGAAGTCTTGGTTTATATGATAATTTGATGATGAAAATAGTTGCTGACGAAGTTTCTGTCCATTGACTTACTTATTTACTCAAGTACATGTGCTTAGTATACTTAAGTACAATTTTAAGGTAGTTGCTTCATTTATTTGATATCTTAGTTAGCGGTCACTTTGCAGATTCAGATTACGAACACAAAATACAATCAAGAAATAAATGATAATGTATTTTTTAAGGTTATGTAGTGACAAAAAGTTCCGCATTCACCAGCTGCAACACTAAAATAACTTGTGACTCTTTTGCAGCTTTTTCTGGGCCCTTTTGCTGGCTCTAGCACTCTTGCTTGAACTACAGACTGTATTCCTGCATTAGAATACGGAGAGTATAGCATCCCTCTTTTACCCTTCAACAATTGTCTCCCTTGGCTATGCCGAGTAAAACCATGCCACGCTGATTTGTGTTTCCATTGTCAGTTTAGATATGCCATGCCACACCAAGTTGCGCCGAAGAAGGACCTTCTCTTGAGTAGGTCCAATAGCCGGGCCGCCCCCTCAAGCAGGTAGCGGTGACGTCTCGCCAACCGCAGCCAACCCCAGATGACGCCCCCAACCCCACCCAAACCAGCGTGTCTGTTGCAAGACTCGACTCACCTCTGTCTGCAGGAGACCAGAGAGAAGGGCGTTTTTAAAAGTCTCTATGTTTAGCTCTCAGTACTTTTGTAGCTTCTGACTGAATCTCTGTGGTTTGGAGTTTAGTTTAGATATCTGCTTTATTTTACTGTCTCATGTTTGTTACCAGCCGTATTAGAAGTTGTGGAAAGTTGCCACTTGAAAACTCAACATTTCTTTATTTTGCTGCTTCACAATAAAAGTGTATACATAACAAAATAACAGGGGACTTTTATTGTGAAGAATCTATAGGATTGCCTTTAAAGCCCCTACAAGGAACTTTCATTTTGAGTTGATTTTGGCAACCCTGTGGACAAAAGCGGTAGTGTTTTGCCAGAATGAAGCCTACATTTCCCATGAGCTCTAGCGCGTATTGTCGTAAAGACGCTTACCTGGCTCACGCATGTGTTTGTTTTGATGATGAATGAAACAACAAGATGGGAAAACTTTGCCCCCGCTCCTATCGGGGATCCCAGCTCACCTCTGCCGCGCCCCAGCTCCACCTCCCCAGCGTAAGCGGTATGTAGTATGGAGCGGTGCCTCGCCTCTTTATTTCTCGGCACTCGCTGGACCCTATTGATGCCTGGCTGGTACCTGTCGTCGGCCCGGATGAGGTGTTCCAGCCCCGCCACCCTTGCTCTCCTCGTCCCCGCTGGCGCGGGGTGAATCTGCGCAACCTGCGGCCTCTGTGTGTGGCTCCCTGGACAGCTAAAGCCGTGGACTTGCCGGCTCCTGCCAGGATTGGGCTGGTAAATGCTAGATCGCTAGCGAACAAAACGTTTATCCTGAAGGATTTCCTGACTTCCCGAGGATTGGATTTTCTCTGTGTGACTGAGACGTGGCTGACTGTTGGTGAGTCCAGTGCTTTCACAGAACTTTTACCCGATGATTGCTGCTATTTTAACTCCCCGCGGACGTCGGGTCGAGGAGGAGGAATAGCGACTATTTATTTGTAAGCAGCTAGGTAAGATGACGTGTGCCGTAAATCGTTTCATCCTGGAAGCGACCTGGGGCGGACCTGGAGACAGTTTCCTAAAGGTATGGATATACACTATATAGAAATAGCTTATCTTCACACCGATGGTCTCATTTGCTGTTGTAGGTCACGCACAGACATCAGCAGAAACGAGAGACTTTTGCATATCCAGTTAAAAGTTCCTTGTAGCGGCTTTAATAAAGACATGTCTAGTAATACGGCAGGGAGGAAAGTAAACGCCACAGTGAGATGTTGATGAAGAGCTGCAGACAACAGGCTCTTACTGCACCTCTGCAAACAGCTCACCTCCAACAGGTGAACTTCTTTTACCAGCCCTGCTGTGTGATGGAAAAAACATGCAGCAAAAATATCAGGGAGCTTTAGCCGTGGATCAGCACTCTGATGTCTAAAAGCAGAGCAGCCATCAGTTTTAAGACACACCTTCAAGAAGGGAGCCCTGCTGTAATGGAAATGCAAATCCCTGCAAAACCAAGCCAAGCCAGCCCATGACTGTTGAAAAGGGGTATCTCACTCTCTCTCCCTCTCTCTCAAACTCAGACCAGACTAAGACCAAACAGTAAAACTACTCAGTGCGGATTAAATATAAACAAAGATTCTGTTACTATGCTTATTTCTTGCCTAAAACGTTTTCAGAAACACATTTTAGCTTTCTGTTTAACTGTAATACAAAATTACTTGTTGCCAGCTGGCTGCCATACTGTTTTCAGACAGGCAGCGTTTATTGGTCTGGTGAAGCACAGTGCATTCTGGTAGTTGCAGGTTTTCTATCTTGAGCAAAAACAAATGTCACAGCCCTCTCCCTCTGTTTTCTCAGATCATACAGCACCAATTCCAAAAGTACAGTATTTGTGTCTTCCTACTGCACAGGCAGCCCAGTTTTATGCAAAGACCATCTTTCCAACAGTGAAATACTTCTTTAACTGACTAATGTGTTAGCTCTGACAGACTTGAGTAGAAAATCCCACATATTGGAGCTGAAAGAACACAAGATGATCATTTGTATAACAGTGAAAATAAAATTAGATAACACTGAGTAGCATGCAGCTTCAAAACACAGAAATTAGCTTGTTTTTCTTGTTTCATATTTTTGGCTGCTGATCAGCTCTTGGAAGTTGTGGCAATATGACACCATTTGAAGTTCTGTGTACTAAACATGTAATCATTTGGACACAAACAAGCACAGAGCTTCACTGACACAGAACATAGTCATTAGTTGCAGCTCCAGCAAGAGAAGAAGAAATAGAATCATACTCACTCTTTAATTTGGAGCGTATTTTGTTGGCCAACTTCTTGATGTCTGCCATGAGATCCTCCAGCTCAGCTTTAGTTTCTGAGTGAAGTAGAAAAGAGAAGCGGAGAGAAGGGATTAGTAGACTTAACTAACTCATCCACTCACACAAACCAGCCACTCCCACAGAGACAGAATCAATACTGGCACACAAGAAATGCCTCTCAGTGTCACTCCCAAAAGGGACAAACAATTCATCAGATTCAGTCCACAGCAGCACATCTCGTCCTTCATCATGCTCGAGTACCAGCATCCTTCACTCCCCTCTACAGTCCACTGTCCTCTTTCCATCCAGGCCCACACCCTCAAACACTCCACTGTGGAGACATGAAGATGAAACTCATGTGGGTTGATGGGTACATGTGGGTGTTGATAAGTAAGATTAGCTATTTTGGTGACCAGATGAACAAGTGAAATCATGATGGATGCAGTAAACAACAGGATGAATGTATTGTTTCCAGCAGAAGAACAGGGCAGATTTTTAGTGATGACCAAGTGAATCATCAAACACTCCTTCAGCATGACATACTGACAGTTTTCTAAATGGAAACTGTTCTTGTCCAGGAGGCAAAAAGGCACAAGAGAGCCCCAAAGCACAACAGCTCAGCAGCTTGCTAAATGCATACAGTACACAGCAGCCCAAATAAATGAAGAAAAAAGCTGTTTCATGGAGGTCAGGCCACATCCTGAGGAAGAAAAATAAAAATTTGACTTGACTCCTCTGCTACTAATGATCTGTTCTGTATAAAAATGGAATCAGCAAGGAACACTTTCCCAATCTGGTGTGCAATGAGCACAGTTTTTGAATTTAGGCCAGAAGCTGCTTGCAATAAACTAGCTCATACCATATGTTGTTAAACACGACCAAAGTGTTTGTGGCTGTTTAGATCGGCCACACTCGAATGTAGGGAAAAATAATCCTGTGGTTGTGTTATAATTGTTCCAACGGTGATAACTGCAACGATCTGTCCACTAATCAGCTGACACAGAATTTAACTGGCATCTATTTAAAAAACTGATCAAGCATTTAAGTCATTTTTGAAGAAAAATGACCAACATTTGCTGGATCTAGCTTTTCAAATCTGCGGATTTGCTGCTTTTCTTTTCATATATGACAATAAACTGAATCTTTGGTCAAATAAAACAAGCTATTGAAACAGATCATCTTAAGCTGTGGGAGATTTTAACGGGCATTTTTCTTTTTTATTTGATTTTAAAGCTAAAGCCATTAATTGATTAATGGATTATTGAAAATAAACATTAATTCTGCTTTTGGACAGTGTTTTGTTGCAGTGTTAGAATATATTCACTGTGTTTCACTCATTTGCACTCAGGAAAACAAAAGTAATCGTATGAAGAATGAAAAAAAGAGCGCTTTTACTTCTGCACAGCTGGATAATCACTGCATTGAGCAGGCTTGGACAGCCCAGTCACCTGAATAAACCATTGAGCGTTTCTGCAAACCATGGACAGGATATGTTACAGTTGTTTGTTCCATACATATCACAGTAATCAGAGTCAGAAGAATGAGGTTAAGATAATATTTAATCCAGAATATGAGTGTACACTTTGGCAGAAAATTTATGTTGATTAAGATTTAACAGAAGTCTTTGTGATCTTGATATTTTGTGATCAAGGGACATCTGAGCAGCAGCAGGATAAATCCCCCCATGGAGTCCAGACACTGGTGGTGGTGGCTGATGACTGCTGAGGCATATGGGGCTAATGAATATGTAAAGACTAGGTGGTGATGGGGAGGTGGAAGGTGCGCTCAATGGCAGCAAGAAAGAACTACGGCTAAGAAAGAACCATATTTAAAATGAGGAGCAGTAAGATGATAGGCTGACAGAAAAAGGGTATCACTGTGCTATTGGTTGATTGTGAATCAGCTGATGACTCAACTGGCAGCCCCAGACAATGACACCTAGAGACAGTGAGTGGGCATACGTGCAAGGAGTGAATGGCAGGGGGAGAAAGAGAACTTACAGCCTGAGGATGAAAAGTGTTGTCTTCCTGAGTGAACTTTCGCCAGAGGTTCATATCAACATTTCTACTGTGATGTGATGTATGTTCAGATTACATGTACATGACAGCTAGCTAGAGGGGCTGCCAAGCCGCAGACCTCTGTTCAAGACCAACAAACAACAAAAGTGGTAACGTAACAAGAGACTGGACATTTCTGGCTGTTTGTATAAACCAAACCCTGAAATTTAGCCCAAAACATCATGTTTTCCTAACCCTAACCAAGTGATTTTTTGCCTCGACCTTACCACACGTTAACCACAACCTTGTCACAGCCTCAACTGAAAACTGAAATGTAAATAAAAGTAAAGTTTCAACACATCTGCTTCATATGAAACATACAAATGTAACATATCCATCGGCTGCAGAAACATACAATGCCAACATTTATTCTGGCGATTGGGTCAGGTTAGGTTGCTAGATTTGGAAAGTTAGGCATTGCCAAATTCAGATAGTGAAAAGGTGGAGAGAAGATGCTCAACAATCAGACAAGCACCTAGTTTGGAGCATAGTGACACCTTTATGTGACTTCAACCTGGCTTTGCACGATTTATTTAGTTTGAGTTTCTCTACTGTGCTTCTTCAGCATAACCAGTACAGTCAAAAAGTCGTTACATTTTTTTACAAATTCAAATGTAATTGCTGATGCATGTATCAGCAGTGTTTCAGTCTTGTCTTTTTTTGATCACAAACACCCATATCCTCCACATTTGTGCATGTACAGACGTAGTTCTTCTGATCAGCGCAAGCTTCAAAAGGCAGCAGCGCTGAAGGACGGCTGGAGTGAATGTCATGTCATGTTGTCAAGTTGCTGATAACACACTGAAGTTTCCTTTTCATCCTTTCTCCCTTCTGTTGAAACTGCAGCCCAACCAGCAGTTTCATAATCATATTCCACACATTTCAGATTATTGCACATGGGAGATAGCAGTGAAAACACATTTTATCTAATGCTATAGTAATTTACAGTGAACCGATTCATTAGGTCTTATTTTGTAGTTGCATAAAAAGTGAGAAAAGAAGGAAATTGGCTATCATAGCTTTTCCAACATGCAATAAAGCAAACTTTAAACTGCCTTTGTTTTCATCACCTCAAAATATAGGAGGTGTGCACTATTTGATGCTACAAGCTAGTATGTCACCATCAAAGTTCAATTAATTTAACAAAAAACATACAGGTGTGTGAGTCTGTGGTCACTGCAGTGCAATTATATAACAGAAAAGGCCTATACATGTATTCATTTACTTAATTACAGAGCTGCAGCTCTCTAAAATCACATCCATATTATATAAAGAAACTGTATTATGCCCTAATTGTATATTGTATATCCTGTAATTATATGTTGAAGACCAGGGGGGAAAAACTGAATAAATTCACACTGCATTAAAAGTTCAGTCTTTACCGCATTCATTTGTGAGTTTAGGTTTTATTTTGGTGCAAAGGTTACGTCATCTTGCAACACTTTACTTTAGCTGGCCTTATTTGGCATTCATAAGCAGCATGTAAACATTTAATAAATGGTATATAACACACTATAATGTAGTTATTACCTCATACAAAGACATTTGAAGTGTTAATTGATTTAGCATTTATCCACATTTACACTATAACTTTTTCCTATTTTCCTATTTTCCTATTATCTCCACCAGGCGTGAGTGAGGCACAATACCAGACAAATCCACCCCCATTTTTGGCCTCTTCATCACCAACTTGACTAAAGGAGCCAGGAGGGACAATTCCTCCAGCCGCAGCTGCGACCAGGTTTTGTTCAGAAGCTACTAAAAATACATTCATCCTCATAATTATATCATATTTCACATACAGAGCCGTTAGCAGCAAAACTCTAGCTGCTTTGTGCAACGTGCTGTTGCTCCGTCAAAAATACACAGGGCATGTATTTTTGTCAGCTTTTGGGGACACTCTTGAAACATGCTGCATGATTGTCTAAAATGGCCGCGATCAGCCTGGTAGCACCCAGCCGGAGATGTGCACTCCACTCAGTACACCTTTCTAGTAACATCTGTGTTTTACTATATCGTCATTGTCTATTTACACAGCATCGAGTCATGAGTGGCCACAGGAGGAGATACAGTTGTTGACAAATACATTAATAAACACTTATATTTGCATATAATGGCATTATAGAGCATTATAAACAATTTATTAAATTTTTATGCACTGCTCACAAAACAAGAGAGGGTAAAGTAAGTGCCCATCTATTTTAGTTATTTCTACAGAGAGAATAAAAAACCGAGTCTGGACATGAAAGAGAACAAAGGGGAGAAAAAGGGAGAAAGCAGAATGGCTTTCACTGACACACACAGAGACACACACATTACCCTGGAGCATTAATTGCCATTTTTAGCACATTGAAACAAGTGATTATGGAAGTCATTTATCATCTTAATGCCAAAAGAGAACCAAATCTCCATATGTTAACAAGCCCCGGGAAGCCAGCAGATATAAAAGATGATCTTTAAAAGTTATTCAAGTCAAACTAATCAATCAAACCAAACTGCTTGCTGCACTTCTTTGTAATGAGTTTGTTTCTGCACAGCTGCATAAATCCCAAAGATAAATATGAGACAGGGGGTAGCCCTTCTAAACTGAAACCTATAGCAAAGTCTAAATGCAAATTTGATAACACACTAAGAGGAAGACTTACATCACTGGTAGATGTTCAGTTTTAAAAGTTATTTGCACATATTTTAAATAAGGAAAGAAGCTTTAAAACAATGAGATCATCATATTGCAAATCTACTTTCTATGAATGCTTTTCATGGCAGTCTGACATATCACACTTTGACTATTAAAAACAACCCACATGGCTGCATACTGAGCTGAAACTCATAAACACCAACAGTCAATAGCAGAAGATCCACTAATACAATAAGGCATCACTGAATAATGTATGTCGTATGAGGCAGCTCATACCATAAACAAACATAAGCTGGGATAAATCCTCAGATGAGCTTGTATGATAACGTAAAATTACACCAGCTTACTGGAGATAGTGAGC